ACTTCTTAAGATCTTCACCCCTAAACCCAGCATTTTGGAAATTTGCATATAAATGTCTAAGGCAGAATCTTTGGTTGCAATTTGGAAACATAGCATTCACTGCATTCAATAACCCCTGACACAAACAATTTAACAAGTCTAAGCTACAAGCTAAAGAAATATGCATCAATGAAAATCTAAACTACTGTAAACACTTGTTCAAAACAGAATGAAATATGCAAACACATACCTTTTGTCTATCTGACATTATAGTATAAGCTCCAAACTTGCCCACTTCTCCCCTAGGCAAATTTTCAGTTGGTGTAGAAACCAACACCAACTAGGTGTGTGCTCTTGACCAACTATGCCAAATGCCAGTGGATATATGTTGTTGTTGCCATGTCTACCAGTGGCAGCAAGTAGTTGAGCACCTGTAGTGAGCTTAATGAAGCATCCATCAACACCTGCATAATCAACATTTGCAAACATTAAATACATTCAAGTGAGATACAACATGGAGTACTCTACAATATGTAAATGGTTCACAAGGTTCAAGAACTAACCAATGAATGGCCTACACCCATTGAGAAACCCCTCCCTTGCTCCATTAAGGCAAAAGAACATGGCATGGAATCTTGGGCCTGGGTGGGGTATTTTTGCATTTGGTACTGGAGTAACAGTAGTGACTATTACTCTACTCCTAGGGTTTGTGTCCATGACAGTCTGAGCATAGTCTTTAAGCCTAGGATATTGCTTCTTGTGATCTCCTAACACAGCTTCAATAGCTATGTTCTTTGCCCTATATGCCATGCACTTGGGCACATCTACACCATATTTTTCATTGCATGCATCAATTATAGTCTGAATACCAGTAGTTATATCAGATCTAAAGAGATGCTCATATTTCTATGCTAGCCACTTAGCACTAACCCTGGTGGTCTCAGTGGTACTAGGGCAAGTGTGCTCTAGTCTCATCTTCTTAATTACAAAGGTTTTCTCCCCTTTTATAACTGTTGCCACCATTAAGAACTGGCATTGTTTATCTGTACACTCAACAATTATCCTCTGATCTGAATTCCTGTGATACTTGAAATTCCTGGCTTGGGTGATGTGCAAATTCAACAAAGCATCTTTGAATTGATGTTGATCCCTAAAACACAACTTCATACACAGTTGCTCATGTGGTTGCTCCATTTTCTCATTGTACCACTTCCTAGCAGGCCTTTTCTTTGCCCTACTCTTCCTTTTCTTTGGTAGGACAAAAGAGAGTGGCTCAAAACCATCATCATCACTCTCCCTCAACAACCCCTTCTCTTCTTCATCTGATGATGGTCTGAAATCAGGTACAACCTCTGGTAGCTCACTATAATGCGACCTAGTGGTTGGTCCTCTTCTAACTGGCAGCTTCTGCTTCTTCTTTACAGGTTCAACTATAGTTTCTTCTTCTTGTTCAAAAGTCCTATCTTCCTCTATCTCAAATGGGTCCTCAACTTCAGTGTCACCCTCATAATGCATAGTCTTCAGCATTTCTTGCTCTTCTGATTGATCATCATCTGATTCTTCATCTTGTACTTCTAGCTCTCTCTGTCTCTTTCCCTCTTCCACCTCTACATCTTCATCATCAACCATGTAATGAGGGTCACTTCTAATTTGTCCATCCTCATCAGAGGCATCACTGTCCTCATAAGCCTCAAATCCTTGCTATCCCTCTTCTTCTTCTTCCAAAACTGCTTTCAACTTGTCTGTTGCATTTTTGCTTTCTTGTGTGCAAACACCAGGAGGACCAGAAGGATGATGTGTGCTAGAGATGCTACATTGACTCTCAAAAACTACTCCTTCCTAATCAACAGCTAAGATAGGAGGCTCACTCAGATCATAAACAACATGCTCTTGGTACACCACAGTGGACAAGTCTGGCTTTTCAAAATGCTGCCTCTCAAAATCAGTATCAGGGGGTGGACAAGCCCTGACTAGCAAATTAAGCACCAATTTGTCCTGGATCTTCCTCTTTATCATCTGTAATTCTGCATGACTGTCTACCAAATCCAGCCCTTTCTCTCCTAAAGATGGATTTTCAATGTGATACAAACAATCATATGCATTAAATCCTTGGGTTTCCATCACTGCAACCAAATTCATATAAGTAATATCTGAACCACACGGCTTCATCTCCAATGGTTCTCATGCATCAAAATGGATCCTTACTTGCCAAATGTCTTTATCCAAACTACAGAACAAATTAAATTTCATCTATTCATTATAATTACTCTTAATTTGGAGAGCAACAATACAGTACAATACAATTTAAAGTAACCTGTAAGTCTATTATTTACTAATTCAGCAAAATAGCAAAAATTGGAGAGCAACATTATAGTACAGAACAATTTAAAGTAACAGTACATTACATCACAGAACAATTTGGAGAGCCAAAATAATCCCAAATTGCCACATGCATTGAACTAATTTGAGAGTGCAATACACTATGTTACTAGGTTAGTTTAATTGTCTTATACTAGTCACTTCAATTGGATAAAACCTAATCCCCAACTGGATAAAGCAGAAGATGAACAAACCCTAAAAATGCCCAATTGGATAAATCAGAGGAGGAGTAGGACAAGGGTACTTACAGCACGCCGCCAAGTCCATGAGTCAACTCATGGCTGCTGCTAGGGTTCGCCACCCACTGATGCGCCAACCGCAACCGCTGCTCCATGATGAGTAACATCGACTCCTCGTTGTCGGTCGAGTACGTGGAGCTGGAGTCGTCTCCGCCATACCCGTCGACGCCAGCCGTTCTGCTAGGAGGCTAGAACGGCATCTCACCGCCGCCGTGGATGCCCTCGCCACCGCCTGGCGAAATCGCCGACGCCATGGACTAGGGTTTGAGTAGAGGAGGAGGGGAGGGGAATGGTGCGGCCGGGCTGGAGCTGGTGCGACCGGACCAGGTTGGAGAGCAGCAGCGGACTGGCTCGTCCTAGTCAGCGCGCGGGCACGCGTCGATTGGCCAGCGTGGCACCTGACGGGTGGGCCCGAGCTGTCGGATCGGGCGTCAATACGTATAAATACGCGTTTTAGCCTTATTTGCAAAAAACCGGACCAATGTTGGTACTGACACGCAAAAATTAGCAATCGTGGCACCAATCTGCATGTGATGCCCAAATTATGGTACTTCTGTGCAATCGTGAAACTGAGACCCACCAAGAAATTGCTAATGACACAAGTGAAAGTGGCGCAGAAAAATTATCTGTGGCTGACACCCGAGGCGATGCTCTGGTTTACAAGGACGGAGTTTCGGCGACAGGACCGTATTTGCTGGATATGCCCCCATTATCTCTAAATTGCAGAGGTACCAAAGGCGATTTCCGCCGCGACGAGATCCTGATGTTCTGATGACACCTGATGCTTGTGGCTGTAACAGAACACATAGGCATTTCAACTTTTTGATGTGAATGTCAGTTGTCGGTTCAAGTTGCTTTCGAATAGGATGATGTACCGTTAGTTGGGACTTGGGAGGTAATTCAGGGGACCAACAGTAAAAGCACTTTTGGCTGAGGAAAATGGAAACCAGTGAACACTGCCTTTTGTTCTGAATTTGACTGACACCTGTACCTTTGCATTGAGGGGAAAGAAGTTGAGCATTCCCTTGTAATCTTTGTAATCTGGGCAGAACAACAATAAATAAACAAAAAGTTCACCAGGCAAGAAAACGAAATCCATGACTTGTACTACGTAATTCACAAATAAGTGAGGCTTAGTCTTTAACCTTTAGTCTCTGCTGTACTCTGTAGTATATGTTTAAAACCTAAGAAATTTTGTAGTACTCAATAAATATTTCACGGGACAAATCTATTTATACAGTCTCGTCTTAAATTCCAATATTTAAAATGATATCAGCGAACCAAGTTTTGACAGTTTGATCAAAGCAAGTTCAGTACATCATAGTGGAGAGTACCAGTTCAGCTCCACTACGTTGCCAACTATAAAAGCCAGCCTTGAGAACTTGGTTGTCAACAACAGAGAAACTCTTCTGTATATATCTAGGATGCACTTGGTTACTCGCATGGTTTTCGGGCACTTCCGTATGTGGCTCAGTAGAGCCTGTTTGAAGGTATACAGGCTCTGGGCCAACTTTTGTAGATTGTATGGTACCCTGCATCGCACCACTGAGTATCTGAATGCATGACCTCCTCGACCCCGTCCACCTTCAAGCCTCGTTCTTGGGCCAGATCCAAAACTCACGTTCCCGTCCGCGCCCGATGCCACCCTCCGTTGGCAAGCACATCCCCACCCCTTCCTTCTGAGGTGGTGGTCTCAACCAGTGACCTGGATTCCTCATCTCCGGACCCTGTTCTTGCGGCTATGGAATTGCTCAGACTCAGACCCAGACGAAAGCTCTGACCGGCTTGCCATTGCTGGCAGCGAAGACACTCGCGGGTGTCATTTTCCTTCTTGGAGGCTCTGCCATGGCCTTTATTTGTTCCCTCCTTCGAGCACCAGGGAAACCCTAGATCCGGTTCTTCGGATCTGATGGCGGCGACGTCACGACGTCGTTCACCTTCTCGTGGGCGCTATCTTGCTTGCTTTGTGGTGTCGCCGGTGTTGGGTTTGTAGATGTTGACGTCATGCTAGTTCGTTATGCCCCTCTAGTTTTGGGATTGGTGGATTCTGCTGTGTTGTATCCTTTGTTCTCACCGAGGATCCCTTTCTCTGCTTCGGATGCCTCCACGCCTTCCTCGTTCGTGCCATGTGTTGTATACCCCTCTACTAAATTCTATTTCATTCAATCAACGAAATGATACGCATTCTTTGTGCATTAATGAAAAAAGATAATGTATATTACTCTAAGGCAGCTTTTGTACAACTTGGGAGTACAAAGATTTTTTTACTTTCTCTTTTGAAATGAAATTCTGCTCCGCCTCTTCTTTCTAAAGAAAAAAAAGAGAGAAATTCTCCCCCGCCTCCATTCCACTCGACTCGACGCAGCCTGCAGTCAGAGAGTCCCAAACCCTAGCCTCGCCGGAATGAGCCGCGCCTCGCCGGCGCCCCCGCTGGACGGCGGGGTCCTCCTCGAAGAGATCCTCGAGGAGATCCTCCTCCGCCTCCCTCCGCAGCCCTCCTCCCTCCCGCGCGCATCCCTCGTGTGCACGCGCTGGCGCCGCATCCTCGCCGACCCCGACTTCCGCCGCCGCTTCCGCGAGCACCACGGCCGGAACAACCCACCGCCACTGCTCGGCTTCTTCGAAAAGGAATTCCGCGTAGACAAGCCGCCCATCTTCAACCCCACGGCGACGGGCGAGCGGGACCGCATCCCACCCGCGCGCTTCTCCGCGCCATGGAGCCTGGGCGAGGGCTGGGAGTTTCTCGGCTGCCGCCACGGCCTCGCCCTCCTCATCTGCCGGGCGCGCCGCGAGGTCGTCGTGTGGGATCCCCTCACGGGCCACCAGCGCCGCGTCGGGTTTCCACCGGGGTGGAAGCCCGTCCAGAACGCCGCGGTGATGTGCGCCGCCGGCGGCGGCCAAGATGGGCATGTGCACGGTGACTGCCGGTTCACCCCATTTAGATTGGCCTTGGTGCGCAGTGATTCTACCGGCACACGCCATTTTGCATGCCTCTACGAGTCAGAGTCTGGTGTGTGGGGTGATATTGTTTCAGTAGAGTCTGCACATTCGACTTCGACTTGCATTGCGAACCCCAGCGTCCTGCTTAGGAATTCATTTTGCTGGCTTATGTCTGGAGGTGCCATCCTGGAGTTTGATTTTCGAAATCACAGCCTTGCGGTGACCCAGAAGCCAGCAGACGCTCATCCGATTTTACATGGAGCTCCCGACCACTACTGGTCCTTTTACGCGATACGAACAGAGCATTGTGGCCTGGGCCTTGCTGTTTTGTCAGACACAGATTATGTAAGCAAGATCATCCAATTGTGGGAGAGGAAATCTGACTGCGATGGTGTTGTTGGATGGGAGCTGCAGAAAACCATTCAACTAGACGGGCTCTTTTCACCACGACCAGAAATGGGGCAGAATGCTATTCTGATGCAGGGGTACGATGAGGACACCAATGCAATTTTTCTATCTACATTTTTCGGGGACTACATGCTCCAGCTTGAGTCCACGCGGTTCACAAATCTTTTTAAAACACGAAGGCGTTACATTTCTAGCAGTACCTATTGTCCCTACAGAAATTTCTACATTACAGGTAATTCCTTGTCTCTGTATTGGTATTGGTATATTCAGCATGAGCTTTCTGATGGACCAATAAGTGGCGAGTGGGCAACAACTGCACTAAAACTATATTGCTGAAACACTTTATATCGGAAGTGTTATTTGATTTCCATATGTGTAGTGCTATGTATGTTGATATTAATCATAAATTCATAATTGCTATTGGATGTAGTAACGTGTAATTCATTACTAGGTAAATGATAATTGTTGCTCCAGCTTGCGCCTAGCAGCAGACGCAATTTCATTTCCCTAGTCCTACCTCTGTCATAAAGGGTTGTTTTGCCTTCTCATTGATTTAGCTCTTCATGAATTAGTTTATTAGTTTTCTTTTGCTTGTAGGCAGCGGAGTTGGTGGAGCTGAAATGCCAATGCATTAGATTATTGGATGATTCTCCCGTTAGGTATGCTAATGTTTTATGTCTGGTAACAGGTGATGTTGATTATGTTTTTTTATATCGACAATTGTAAATATAGAAATCCAAATGTTTTATATAGCATTGGAGGTGAACTAGTATTAAGTAGTAACCAGCAACAGAGATCAGTTGGTGTTGATGTCCTTGGACCAGTGAATGAGGCTTCTGATTCTACTTGTTGTTTCGTTATCCAATCTGTACAGTATACATGAATGTGCGTCTAGATATCTTCTTACTGGAACTATCTTACTGCGCTCCATAGCACACAAGAGCTATATGTTGCTATTACCGGCATCTTCTTTTAATTATTTCATCACTCGAACACTTACATACATATTGTTGGGCAGCATAGATAAATTACCATAGTTGTTTGTTTCCTCATTTTCCATTCAGGTCTTGTTCACTTATTATGTTGTTAGAGTGTACATGACAAAGGTAAACACTTAGGAAATGTAACTAAAGTTTTAGGAGTTAGAAATGTACGCATGTTGATTGCTAAAGCACAAATGTTCATGCATGAACCTCCACATATGCATCCAAGTCCCAATTGACTATGCAATATGATTCCAATTTTGATGTAGTTTATTTGTTTCCCACAGTGAAGTGTGTGTCATATTTTCCTTGCAACTAACAGAACATCCTTATTACAGGCTTGCACTTTGGGGAATTCAGCTGCTTTATGGAGCCACCTCCACCTTATTGGTTTTGACTTGGTGGCGTGCCACATGCTCGAACTCGGAGTACTGTGTGTTAATGTTGTATAATTTGTTCTGTAATGTCAAAGCTAGTAGACTGAAATATGCTGAGAGGCCCTCAGATTAGTTATTTAACTAGTAGGAACTCGATGACTGCATGTCACACTGCTTCAAATGTTATGAGTTATGCCATGTCTTAGAGGGTGCTTGGATACGTTTTAGTCCCATGACTAAAAGTAGTGGGACTAAAACTTGCTAGCCTCACCCATGCTTGGATCCAAATACTAAAGAGACTAAAATCAAGTTATTGAGCATTTATTATCCTCAAAACCCTCCAATCCAGAACTCGCATGTGTTAAAAGAGAGGAATTAAATGAGGAGAGAGAGGGCTAATACATATTTTAGCAGGTTTCCTATGACTAAAAGATTTTAGCCTCAAGACTAGTCCTATCCTCTCTTTAGTCAGGGGTGCTTGGAACTTTAGCCTCTAAAAGAGACTATTTTTAGTCAGACTAAAAATAGTCCCTTGGATCCAAGCACCCCCTTAGCAAGTGTGTACCATTTCAATGGAGTAATGGTGGATAGGCTGAACTGCCCATCTCTTTCAGCTTTGAACTTCTTTGGTTGCTAGTTTGGTTATTTTGGCTTTGAAAAGGATTAGAACTGATGTTCCTGAAACAGCAAGCATGATGCAACATGAATGCTAGACAATTTTTCTGTAGTTATGCTCTTAAGGAACCTATATGGAGTTCTCTTGAGAAAGAGATTTTGCTGAAAAGCTTAGATGGAACATACTAAATTTTCCCTCAGAAGATTATCTCCATGTATGTACCAAGCATCATACTAGTGATAGCTTTCTACTTTGTAGATGTCAGGAATATAAGTGCTGACCAACATGGTTTCATTTTATTAAAAGATTATACAACCTAGGAACATTTTTTCTGGTTATAACTAGAACTAGTTATTGTGATTTCTGGATGTAAAAATGTTTGTCCCACCATTGACTTCGTTAGCTCTCCGCTGCTGTCTGCATCATCTGGATTTATCGACTGAGCGAAACAGGAGAATTTTTGAAGAGACATATGTCCTGGCTGATACGGTGGCCATGTTAGCTCGTGATGATCTTACCCTTATATATTCCGGCTGTAGCTTCTTCTTCCGGCTCCTGTTTTGCCTTTTTTGTTACCTCCTTTTGTTTTCTTGGTTTACGTCTCCTTGCTTCTGGGCTTCAGCAACCCTATACAGATTGTCCCCGCTTTAATAATGCAATGGCAGAGCTCCTTTCTTTCCCGTCGAAGTAAACTATTCCTACGTGTCAAAAAATGTCTTATAAAAAGTTACAGAGGGAGTAGTATCTAACATTTTCTTCTCTCCTGTTCAATAGATTCTAGTTATTCAACCCATGTATGTCAAGGTGCATGTAACTCCATTACACGGACAATGCTACACCTACGTAAACTAATCTACGTACTTTACG